GGTACTGCCCGGTCACTGCAAAAATTAATAAGAATAAATAGGGAAAAAGAATTAAATCTTTCACCCTTTCTCTTTCATTAGACATAAAAAGACTTGTAAAATGATAAAAATAAGGAATCCTGTTGCTTTTCAGTCACTTTGCTTCCCAATTTTACTAGAAAGCAAGAGAGAGTTTTAAAAAGTTTTAAAACACAATAACCCGATCTGGTCTTGATCCACAACTGAGTAAACAATGAAAATACTGGAATCATAAAACAACTGCTTTATTAACTTTTCCTTTGTGTTCCCACTCGGGAATAGGCACCAGGCAAATTTCCAATGTTAAATATAATAGGATCCAAACTCATACACGTTTATGTGTAAGTTGAAGCTAATGAGGAAATAAGTGCTGATCACCAATGGTAAAAAAGATTTACAGATGCAACAAACAGAAGAGAACACCCTTCCTTATCCTTTCCCTCTTCAGTTTGTGATTCCAAATGTAATAATGCTCATAAAGTGCTAGTCCCATGCAAGATAACAGTCACAGCATCAGTTACCCACACAGTTACTCACTCTTCCTCTTTCTTAGGCTGACAAAGTTTTTAAAGTTATCCAGTTCAGGATTCTGCTAAAGACAACCAGGTGCTACAGCTCAAAGCGCCTCTCGGACTTTTTTTTTTTTAATGTAGTATTGGACCTTGTTAATGGAAATAACTTTTGTAAAAGAGCCATGAACAACAGCAGAATCATATTTAAATCCCAAAATGATAATTACTGCTCTAGTCCAAAAAATAAAGTCTGCATCTTGTGTAAGAATTTTTAAAACCACACCTCAAAAGTAGTGTAGGTTTAATACCCTTTGCTTAGGGTCACCTGCAAAAGTTAATACAGGACTTCTTTTGATTTGTAGAAAGTAAGATCGCCATTCAACCCCACAATATAGGCCGTCTTTTTCTGCAAATGTATGAGGCCCGTATAACAAAACAAACACAGATACTAACACACACACTTACTTCAGAGGCCCAGGAGGAAATGGCTCTGTAGAATTTTAAATCAGAAACCTAAGGCTTAGGTTAGTAGTGTCAGGTTAAAGGCTAACCCATCTCCAAAGCTAATTCGGTTCTGAACAGTCCCATGGGTGTCTAGCTGAACAGAAGGAGCTAGGAAACCTTAGCAGGCCAGAGCCCAGACTGGGGAATTGCTGGGACTCCGTGCCAGGGGTTGAGGCTCACCCCAGACTTGGTATCAGATAATACCAAGTGCTAGTCTGGATTTCCAGGACTAATCCACTCCAGGGTGGAACTTCCAGGTTCCCCAGTGTCTGTGCTGTGTAGTGGGAGGACTGTGAGCTTTGTAGATCCAGACTGTTTGGCTAGTATTGTACTCAATATCAGAAAAATAGGTGCAATACAGAAAGAGTCTATAAGTAGCAATGCTTTATGCTGTGGAATCCTTAGGGGGTTGCAGGCACAGGGAGAGACCTAAGAGGAAGCGGAAAGCACTCCAAATTTTCTATAGATACAGTTTTCACAAGTTCCTTTATTTTTATATTCGAATTTGCCCTTCTTGAATGTGTGTTTACAGGTTCTACAGATTCTTAAAACAATGTATTCACAGTGGTTATCAACCACTTTTATATTTACTCAAAAGGACTCTTTGGCTTCAAAAACAGTTTTCCTCTCTCATTCAAGATCTCCCTTCTCTTCCTCCGTTACACACATCACTTTTTTCTTTTAGAGTCAACTTTTAAATCTGCCCCTAACTTCTTAAAACCCTTATAGGAGGAGAAATTTAACCCCCAAACTTACTATATTTTAAGTTTGATACAAAACAGTACTGAGCGAAAGAGAAATCCTCCTCTCACAGATAAACAAAGTGTTTAGCATTAAAACTGGGACTCAGAACTGCCATTATATTCTACATTAAATACAAATTAACACTGATTTTTCCCAAAGTCAAATAATTACTACTTCACACCACTTGCAAGTTTCAAGCCTCACTCAGCACTTAGCAAGCCTTGGTGACTGTGACTGAACTGCAAAATACACCATTTGCCCAGAAATTGCAAAGTCCAAACTCAAACTGCTTTAAAAAAAAAAAAAAAAAAAAAAAAAAAAAAAAAAAAACCTGTGTAAGCCACACTTAGCACAGGCAACACACATCCACAAAAATCCATTCAATGCAAAGGTAAGTGGAAAAGCTTAGAAAATTAAGCCTTCCCTCTCAAAACTGCAGGGATTTTTACGGCATTTCCAAAGGTAATTGCTTCTTACTTCAGTAAAAGTGACTTTATGTGACTGAAAGAGGGAGGTAATGTTTTTTTTAAGTGAGTGATAACAGGATTCAATCAGACCGCAAAGTAGGAGAGCCCACTCGCAAAATATAACTTCATCACCAGGCACCGACGCGCAGGAGAGGCCCACCAAGCACCAGAGCTAAAATGGAGCCTGAATTTCCTCTTAGGCGGAGAGGGTAGTCGCAGGAGGTCAGGGTCAAGGTCACCAGCAGGGCAGGCTGCAGCTGCCCGACTGCGCTACACACCCGAGGAGGGAAGGCGTTCCATCTCCGTCACAGCCGAAACAGATAAATCCCTTCTACTCTCCTACCCTCCCTCTAACCCCGCCAACATTTTTTTTTTTTAAGCAGGGGGAGAAGAGAAGAAAGGGAAAATGACCAAATAACCTCACCGCCCTGTTTTCGCACACAGGCTCATCAGCTCCCAAAGTTGCCATCTAAGGGCAAGTTCGCAGAGAACACTGAAACCCATTTTGTCCGAGCAGGGCAGACCTCCCCTGACCCCCCGAGGATCCCTGCCTCCTCTCCCTCCCCTCCCCAAGCCCCCGACCGAAGCCGGGCAGCGCGGCGGGCCGGCCATGTGCACGCACACTCTTCCACCAACTGCTGCGAGTTTTCTGTGAATCGCAGCGCGGAGCCTCCCAACTCGCCTTCCCCGACTCCACCGCCTCCTCCTTCCTCGCACAAAATTTCCCTACACACGCAGCCGCCTGCGAGTGATTTTATGTGCATATATATTACATATGTGATATTATCCTCAGAACCTCTAGCGGGCAGGCGAAGAAAGGACTGCACAGGGGCATTTTTTTTTTTTTAAAGGAAGGGGAAAAAAGCACAACCCAAGCCCTTTGCGTCGACTCCTGCGTACCGGGAAGGGGAAAGAAAGAGGAATGTTTGCGGAGCGGACTGCTTGCAAGTGCCCTTGCTCGCCACTTCGGCTGCGGCCCGGGTGACACGGAGCCGCGGGGGCGCCTGGCCCAAGCAGCCCACGCCCCCCTCCCTGTCCCCTGGGCAGGCACCGCCGCGGATATTTCGCGAGGGGGAGATCGATCGCGCTGCCTGTCTGCAGCGGAAACGCACACGCTCACACACAACCCGAGCCGGAGACACCATAACCTTAACCCTTCCCCCACCCTCCGTGAACTTCAGGTGACCGACCACGTCGGCCTGACACCCGGGCGGGCGGCCGCTCCGGCTCCACTCCCGCCCCCAGCCCGGGTTTTGCAGGATCGGGCTCCGAGCAGCGCCAAACCGCCGGGAGAGGGGAGTAGCGTGGGGGGAGAGAAGAGAAATTGACCCTCCGTCTCCCCCGACCCCTCCCTCCGGCGCCTCCCGCGTCCCCTCCTCCCCGTCACCCCGCCCCACGCCTTCTCCCCTTCCCCCTCTTCCCTGCATTCAAGGAGCCGGGCGGCCCCGGGGGATATTTTTAGTTGCTTCTTTCTCCTTCACTTTTAGCTTTAGCAGCATCTCGGAACACTCAAAGCGGAGAAAGACTGGGGGGTTGGGGGGAGCTGGAGAGGGAGTGGGGGAAAAGTTAAGAGTCGCGCAAAGAAAAGCCGGAGGGAGGGCAGAGAGGGACCGGGGGCGCGGGTGGAGGAGGGGAAGGGGACCGGGCCGTGCCGGCGGGTGTGTGTCTCCAGTTGGCGTGTGTGGCTGCCGCCGGGGAGGGCTGTGATGCACTTTAGTCCTGGACTCTGCTCAGGCTCGCCAGGGAGGGGGTCTGAGAGCCCGAGTCTCGCCTGGCTCCGTCTGCTCCGACTGACCTCGCATTTTATTGCGGCCAGGAGCCCTGCTCCTCCCTCCCCTCGGCTCTGCAGGGACCTCGCGCGCCGCGAGCCGCCCTGCCTCCTGCCTCCGCCTCGGCGCAGCTCCCGCACCCCACATCCGCCCGCCGCTGCCCGGCCTCGCCCCCCGCCCGGCCGCCCCGCGCCCCGGCGCGCCCCCTCGCTCCGGCGCCGCGGGAGCAGCCGCCCGGCGGCGCGTGTGTACCCGTGTGTTTGTGTGCGGTGTCCCTACACCCTCCCCAGCCGCTCCCGCCTCGCCCGCCCCCGACTCCCCTCCTCCGCCGCCGCCTCCTCCACCTCCGCCTCCTCCTGCTCCAGCCGCCGCCGCCGCTGCCGCCGGCGGCTCCGGGGCCGACCAACCCCGGCGCAACCTTTAGCCAGGGACGGACCTCTCCCTGGATCCCGTACCCGGCGGGCTGCCGCGCGCCCTCGCCCCGACACCCCCAAACGCCATGTCACGGCCCCTAGCCCTCCGCGCGTCCCGACCCCCGCACCCTCGGGCGCTGGAATCCACAAGGAATTTTTTTTTTAAGATTCCAACCTCTCCCACCTCCCCCCACCAACCCCCCGATAAAAACCCCAGGCATCCACACTACTCCCCTCCTCCCGCCTCTTGCCCCCTCCCCCCAGCAACCCGGGGCGAGGAGGGGGAAGGGGAGGAAAAGGGAAAAAAAAAGCCCGATCTCAAGGAAAAAAAGAGGGGGGGTGAGAGAAAGAAAGAAAAAGAGAGAGAGAATAGAAAGGGCACGGGGCTGATCATCACCAACATGGCTGCCTCAGCATAGACCTAAACGAGGAGTAACCCGGGCTGTGTCTTTGTCAGTTTCACCTCTGTAACCCTAAACTAATGCAGAAAACAACGGAGGAGGCTGCGGAGGGGAAAGAGGAGAGGGAGGGCGAGAAAATGGCACGAGAGGAGGTGGAGAAGGGATGACTTACGTGAGGGAAGGCGCTTGGGCTGCTCCTGCTTCCTCCTGGGCATTTTCCCCCTTTTCTCACATTCTCCTCCTTGGTTAATGTGAGATCAAATAAACCCCCGTGGGGGCAGAGAGGCAGACACTGGCAGGAGCGGGGAGGTAGTTGGGGGGCGGGCGGGCGGACAGGGGGAAACCCCTTCTCTCCGGTGTGTGCAATGGGTTGAAGCTTGTTTCCTGGAGCCAGAAGAGGGGTTTTCTTCTTTTCTTTCCTTTCTTTTTTCCTTTTTTTTTTTTTTTTTTAATTTTTGGTCGTGCACCTGGCTTGTCCCCGAGCGTAATATTCTTCAATGGAAACGGATCTAATAGGTGTGAGTGTGTGTGTGTCCTATGCTCGCGTGTGTGATGGGAGGTATAAATAAATGAGTGCCGGTGCGGCGGTGTCTATGGCCGCGCTCTGTGTCTCCGAGCCCCTAACACTAATGTCGGGATCAAAGGGCAGCGGCGGCGGCAGCACAGCTCACAGCTCGCTCTCTTGCTCTCTCTCTCTCTCTTTCTCGCTCTCTCTCCTCTCGCGCTCTCTCTCTCGCTCTCTCTCTGTCACACACACACACACACACACACACACACACACAGGCACAGACTGAGGGAAAGAGCGAGAGCTACACGCACGCACACACACGCGCGCACACACACACACACACACACACACACACACAGAGCAAAGAGGAAGGTGCCCCAAGGCTCCCAGGGCGGACTCAGCCTCGGATTTACAACCGCTCTGTCTGGAAAGAATGGGGGGTGCGCGTGCGGGGGTGGGATGGAGCTCTTCAAATTTATCCCGCTAGTCGCCAAATCTAGGGGGGAAAAAGTTTTTCTCACTCGTTAAACAACGATTAGTTCATTATTTTACTGATTTTTAAAAGGAAATAAATTTTTGTCTTAACTTTCGTTTGTTTATTAAGCTACATTTTGTTCTGTATGAAATTCTGCAGGCTTTTGTCCCTAAAAGAATTACTCTCTCGCCCCTTCACCTTAAATCTGGAGGTTATCGTCTCCCACACACTCTCCAAAAACATTCCAATAAAACTAATCAAAAATAAAAAAATAAAAAGACAACACATGGTGAAATCAATAATTCGGTTGACAGTTGACAGAATAAGTGCCCAGTTTTGGAGTGTCCAGTGAAGTTAAAACTGAAAAATGCTCCTCAATGAACATTACAGCTACTTGACAAAGAGAGGAAAATAAGATTAGGTCACCCCTGATGGTTGCTTTAACTGCTACGTGGTACTCCTAGAGTGCACATAGCAATCTTTACTTCGGAAATTTACTTTTTCCCCTGCTATACACTGCAGGTATATGAAGTTTACCCTGAAGCAATTCCAGTGTGCATTATGAGCCCAATATAGCAGTTTTCATTAACTGATACATACTTTCATTACCTTACAAATCACACATCTTTCTTCAAAGACAGACATAAAGGAGAAAAATAGAAAAGGACGGGTCTCACTCTAGCACAAAAGGTACTTGGTGAAAGAGGACTGTTCTCTTTGTGACTTGCAGTCATTTGGATAAAAGTTCACTCAGAGGTTGTTAATGATTTAAACTCCAAAACCTGCTACTATAATTGAAGTAAAAATGGTCTGAAGAAGAGTTGTTTCATAAAACTCTCTTTGTAAGAGGAAACTTTGAACTTAGCAGAATACATTATATGTCATGAGTCAGATGTAGCTAAAAAAATAAAAAGGTGCATTATTTAACTACATCTTCCCTTTTTAGCTTTTTTAAAACTCTGACTCATCATCTTATTATGTTAAATATTTTCCTACCAATTTTTAAATAGACCTTTTCATCAAAGAAGGTGAAGGCACAGTAAAGATATAGAATATTAAAATGACACTCCATAAGCCTACATGGATAAATCATGCCTCTTTGAGGTTGAATTAATTCTTACAACTTCAGTGGTGTTAAAGAGACTCATGGGGGTTAAATTCTGACCTGCCCCTTTAACAATAATAATAAAGCTTTATATTGCACAGTTTTATAAGTGAAGCTTAAAGAGTCCTGTATCTCCCAAAGATGTCTTTTATTGATAGAGAAATCTTAGGTTCAGTACCTCCCTGCCAACTCACCCCAAAAGATCTAGCTTCCCAGTAACAAGTAATCCTATTGAAAACAAGGTTTGAAACACCTGTATGAATTCAATCTCAAACCAAAACAGAGAGCAGACAAGTTTAAAATGGAGCATCATCCTTAAACCAGTTCTTCCTCAATGTTGGCTTTAAAAAACTGGTAGTTAAGTTTGTCCTGCATTATAATTTGAAATATAACTATCTTTCCACTCAGGTCAAATCCAATTTGCCATAACTTTGACTATTGTCAGTGACATTGGATGTGAAATTAATATATTAATGATAAATCAGAGCCCATCCTTTCCAAGTAGACCATTGCCCTGAGTGTGTAGGATCTTTACACCTAAACAGAATGGTCATCACACTTCACTCTGCTTTTTCAGAACCTTTGGCTAAGGTGTTCAGGATTATTACTCTGCATAGACACACCACCACCTTTTCTGAATTGCTGGGACTCTTCATAATGTTTAGTATGCTATAATTGAAAACACACTTTAGGCCTTTCCTCAAAGCAGAGTACATTTCCTACAACCTTTTAAAGGCATGCAGGCAAATGCTGTCAACTTTTAATTATATAGGCGTTCTATCAACAGCCAAAAGCATTTTTAAATTGAATTTACTCATAACTCCACCTCTTTCCAAAAATTATTTGAAGTAGTACACAACAATAGAAAATGGAAATAAGGACAGAACAATTTCCACATCAATCTCAGGTTGGTATCTCTATGTTACAAAACACTTTTCAAGGTCATTTGCATCTCACCCTCAATTGCTGTATGCTCAGGGAACACAAACTAATTTTAACGTTAGACTAATATAAAACATTAGGAAAATAAATAGTTGGGGGTTACAATAATGGATTTCAAAATCAAACGCATAATTTTGGAAATGTATGCTTTTGGGATATATATACCCATGAACCGTGAGGTTGGATTATTGTTGGTCATATTCATCATATTGGAATATTCTATTTGATTCACCCTACCCATTGGCCAAGCTTTTAAAAGCATATTTTATCTTAATAATTACAGTACTCTCTCCACCCCCATCTCCATTATCTCTCAAATGTGAAATTAAAATAGATTTTCCCAAAACTGTGCATTCTAAGAAGTTTCATAAACACTCTCACAGGAGTGATATCTATTCAAACTCAAGTATTGCAAAGGGTGGGTAGGCAAAGGGAGCACTTACCCTAGAATAGTGTGTGGTCTGCAGGTACAAAACTACTTTCATACTATCCAGGGTCCATGAGGTCAAAACTACTTTCACATTAACACTAAGGTATTATTTGTCCTTTTATCTGTGTTGACATTTGCACTGATGATGTAACAGCAATAGTGGGTAAAAATGCCTTAGTACTAATTAAGGCAGAGCATCAAAATGTGTAATAGTCATCCTATTCTTCACCATCATGCACATAGAGGAAGGAAAAAGGGAGGTTTGTTTAAGAATGTCCTTGATAGAGCAGTAAAACTTATTAATTTTATTAAATCTCGATCCTTGAGTACAAGACTTTTAAATATTCTTTGTTGACAAAAAGGTAGGTACTTATAAAGCACTTCTGCTGCATACTGAAATACATCAGTTGTCTGAAGGAAAATCACTTGTGAGATTGTTTGAAATAGCCGGTTTTTAATGGAATGTTATTTTTACTTGATAGGACGACTGACTGACAAACTCAGAGGGGTATTTCTCAAAAAAAAAAACAAATGAAGTGAACCTACAATTTCAAGGAAAATAATGCATACTATTTTTTGGCAGTGACAATATTTGCATTCATAAGTAAAAATTAGAAATTTAGATCACTTGTATCCGTAACCATGAATTTAATAGCTTCCTGATACTTACAGGCCTTTTTGATGAGATGGATGGTAATGTTAATAAATGTGACTTTTTGATATTGTCTCAAGATTTTGGAAGATCTGCCAAGCTCAGTGAACCAATATTTTCCAAATGACCAATGCTTGATGTTACCAAATCATGCTGTAGTACAAGATCCATTCAAAGCACAAGATGGATCAGTGGGTTTTAATGTGAAAAAATATGAAAAGTTTATTGATACAGTTTCAGATTTTATACTGTAAGTAATTCTAAAGAAACTACCACTCATCAAGCTTTGGTGTAGTATCAAAGAAGAATATCCACAATTATCTAAAAAGGCTATTAATCTACTTCACCCTCCTCCAGCTACATATCTGTATGAAACTGCATTTTTTTCATTTACTACTTTAACCAAAGAAACATATCACAATAGATTAAATGCAGAAGAAGATATGATAACCCAGCTGTGTTCTATTACACCAGACATTACAAAGATTTTCAGAAATGCAAAATAGTGCTCCTCTCCGTATGAAATGTTTTGTTTTAAAAAAATAGTTATTTTTATAAAAATGTATTAACATATTACATTTATGACTGTTATGTATAAATGAATTAATATTGTTTTAAAATCTAGTTTCAATGAGCAACACAGCCATAATCAATAGACATAACTGATATAAACAAAAGCTCTTTGGGGAGCTCAAAAACTTGTAAAGAGTATTAAGGAATTCTGATTCCAACAAGTTTGAGAACCACTGCCATGAAAGTAAGATGCAGTTAAAAAGAACAATGAACACGTATGGAGGTTTTACCAGAGGTGTTGGAATCCAATTGTGAACATGCTTACCCACTTCATAAAATGAAGCTCACTAAGCCCCTGGAGCTGAGGGTTAGTCTGTGTGCCCAAGCGTAGCTCCTCTGATGAGATCCCGTGTGGGACACAGGAAGTAGAAGATGCTCATCCAGTCTTGTTGAAACAGGTTATCCAGCCACGTAGAGACGCCAGTTACTCTGAACAGAGGGCCCAAGTCTCTCCTAGCCGCAGACCCTCTAGGAAAGTCAAACCAGGGGGGTCCCACTCTTTTCCCAAGGCAAGAACATGTGCCTCAAGAGATAAGACGAGACCCCGGCGGCGATCCGTACCGACGCGGATTTCAGCGGCGGAAACATGGCGGCCGCGGCCGGTCCGACAACGGCGGAAGCTTCCACAGAGGTTGGTCTGTATTAGCGCGTGTGGCCTCGGGCCCTCGTTCCCCAAGGCGTGCCACCTCCCTGTTCTCAGTCGCAGGCTCAAGCCTTGTCCGCCCTCCTTCTTTTTGGTTTGGTTTTGGAACTGACTCCGAGGTTTGGGAGAGCGTTGGTGATGACGGCCAAGTCAGATCACTATAAACAAAATTTACGCCAGGGAAAATGTTGAAATAGGACTTGCGGATACATTGGATATACCGGATGAAATACAAGAGGTTAATTTTTGTAACGTGGGGGAAAAGCCCACGTCGCTGGTTACCTGTGTAAATCACTGCATTGTTGCTTTAGTCATTGTCTCTATTTAGCAATAGCAAGACTGGAAGAAGTAAATAGAGAAGTGAACATGCAAAAAAAAAAAAAAAAGTTAAGACGAGACACTCTTTACCCCAAATGTGCTCCAAGTCTGACATTTTAAATAATGAATGCCTGTCCCAAAGCAGAGACATGGGTCTGGTGTCTCTCCTGGCCTGGACTTCACATGTTATAAGTCAGTATCTGGTCACGATGGCCGGCCATTCTTTACAGAGGGTAGGCTTTTACTCGAATATGTACTTTCATGGGCCTGGATGGAATTGGCACATTTGGTCACAATTTAGTTAAACCTTGCTTTAAAAAGTAGTGGATGTGTAGGCCCATGGCATAATATAGTACCTGGCAACAGAAGCATTTCTGGGCATATGGG